ATTATATATAATTAACAGTGCAAAATAGCAGCCAGGTCTTTATTTCAGGTGACCTCAAATCAAATGAATGTTCACCTTATAGTCATAGTGACAAGTTATTCACGTGTTTTGTACAATTAATATAAATATATATATATATATATACACACATTCTTTTTGACAACTTGTGAATCTCTGTGTCTCCTTTCTCTGCTTCAGGTTTTTCATTTTGGGCGGCCTGTCTGAGCCACAGTCATGGTGTGCATTCCCTGTATTGTGATTCCTGTCCTGTTGTGGGTCTACAAGAGGTTCCTGGAGCCTTTCCTCTATCCTTTTATTTCACCAATAATTAATACATTCTGGACTAAAAAAGCCGTCCAGGAGACTGGAACCAGTGACCAAAAAGTCAGTGAAAAGAGCAATGGGACTCTCAAGGTAAGTTAATGGAGTAGTCATAATGTTATCATGACTTTTTAATAATAAAACCCCTTTTTCCTTTACTTATTTATTTGTGTCAGGCTGGTTGATTATTCAATATTATAAACACTGAATGTTCTTTTTCCCTCATATTTAACATCATTTAAAGTGTGGTTAAAGTTAACGTAATCTTGACTAATACTGATGTTGTTCTTGAGCCTCTTTCGTGATTGCATGTTCTTGATAAAACATTTTCTTTCTTGTGTGTTTCAGGCTGAAAGCAATGGTGATGCGACGGCCAATGGATCCACTATAGCAGCAGATAAGAAGACGGATTGACAGCTCCAAATGTTTAGAATGCATCAAACACAATGTACATATTTCATTAATATAAAATAGAGAAACTATAAATTAACTTATCAGTCTTCTTTTAATGGAGTGGTTTTATAACCTTCCAAACCGTGTGTACCTTGTTTTAATTTTTTCATTGACAGTCACTTTAAGAACTTGGTAATTGTTCAAATATTTTTCTCACTAATCATGGATTGATACATGCATTTTACTGTATTGAATATTCAATGTTAATGGAATCGTTTTTCTATGTCAAACCTGCAGTTTAATGAACGAATAAAAGAAAACCTTCAAAAGATGCTCATTTATTACTCACATACTAAGCTGTGCTTCCATTTTAACTAGCTCACTTCATATTGTAAAGTCATGAACAAATTAGTGATTTTGTTTTATGATATTTTAGATAAAATAAATGTGACAGCAATATCATACCTGTGTAAAATCGTGCTGAGGTTGAAATTTGACATGCATTATGATAAAATAATTTATTAATTCAGACTAGACACATATATATGTGTTTTTACAAATAAAATATTTGTTGTTTTAATAAGTTATGGTGAGTATTTTGTTTAAAATTAAAATTTGGTTGCTTATATTAGGATGACCATGATTATCGCTGTCCTCCGTGGACCTCCGTAGTGTCTGGGACACTTTTTACTCCGATTGCAGGTTTAGTTTTGCGTGATTATGACTAATCTAAAAAATGCGACCAATTGCATTGTATACGTGCCTTGGACACTACTTGTTTAGTAGTAGTAGTGCTAGTTCACTGTGGTGGAAACATGTTATAGTTAGAAACTCTGAAACATTCAAACCCACAGTGCATTTTCTTTGGTCACAGGCTTGCCAGTTGACAAGAAGAGTGGGAACAGGGACTGAGAATAGCTAAAAAAAATTAAAAATACAACATGCTTGGCCTTGTCATCCCCATTCTGTTGTGGCTCTTCAAGAGGCTTCTGGAGCCTGTCTTCTGTCACAGTGTAAATAGATTATTGTTTTACCTGCTGTTACCTAATAAACCATCCAGACCTCTCAGATTGGCTGGGACAGGTCTGGCTACCATTTCCAGAGTCAAAACTAAAGCATTCAATTTCTATTCACCACAAACGACCTCCCAGAAAACTGGTGCTGTGCTCAAACTGCAGTTCTTTCAAATCCAGGCATTCAACTTCAATATGTGCCACTTTATTAAATTAAATATGACTATTCATTGTATTCTGCGCTGTAACCTTTATTCTCCTGTTTCATATGTTTAATTAAATTTAACTTGTTTTTGTCTTCTGTTATATTTAACTCTTTTAAAATCCCATTTATTTGTCTGTTTCTTTTTATGTCCTGTGTAAAAGAACTCAAATCACCTTGTTAAAATATTTACCTGGCTTTCCCTTGCTTTTTTGAATGCTTCCCAAATTGTGTGCGCCTGGTTCTGAATTTTTTTTTTGTCACTCATTTTACAAAAACAAGGAAAAATGGCATTTCTTTTGAATCGATACAGACAGTGTACTTGTGTATTCTTGTATGTATACCCCCTCTAATGACATATTTTCTTAGTCAAACTTAAAGTTTAATCAAAGAATAAATAAAATAAATAAACAGTATAAACATGATAGCAGTTCTTGTGTAAAACGAGATCATCCAGAAAGTTACAAAATGTGTTTAAATACTTCACAGACCTCTTAAATAGGTAGAAAAGCAAAGTTTAGATCAGCCACTGGAAATCTATTGCCCCTATTTCTATCTGCAACGTCATCGACGTAATCAACGCCCATATTTCGTCATTACGCAAGGGGTGGCGACGTGGAAAACATGGAGGACAGGGGTATGTAGAGTAAACTTAATTGTCTCAAATTCCCGAGAATTGTATGTATTTGCCATTGTAGCGTAGGCCCGATAAACAAACCGGATTAAACTAGAAATATCTGTGAAAAAAGCAGTCGCCCTTTGACGCTCCTGGGAGTCGAGAGAGCCGCGGAAACTGCGAGAAGCATTCATGACAGGTAAGCCGAGCGGTCAGCTGATACACCAGCAGTGGACGTTAGCTGCTTTCTGGACACTTGAGTTATGAACCAGCGGTTAACCGGACACGATCACGAGTCAGTGGTTTCCCTAGCTGTGGGTTGGTGCCCAGTTTGGGTCAGTCAGTGTGGCGTGTTGACAGTCACACAATTGGCGTGGCTCAGTGTATTTCCTGCACTTAAAAAGCAGGATGAGCTAGCTCACGTCATGCAGGTTGGTCAAGTGAAGCAGCAGATACAAGTGCAGAAGCACACTGGGCACCAGATGTTGCCCTGGCAAGGTCACACTAGTCTGTTCACCTATATGAGACAATAATATGTTTTGGTGACCTCTTAACTCAGGTGTGTGCCTTTTTATGTAACTTATTCCCCTTTTTTAATATATGAGAAGCACAAGCTATCTGCCTTGGTTTACCACTAATGGGTGCTTCTATTGTGCTCCAGTTCACTTGGGCAAATGTTGGCTCGCTGGCTACACCTGTGTGCCAAAGGTGTGTCATTTCAAGGATACAAAAAAACACATCCTGCCTGGTTCCTTGTGTGTAGTGAACCACCTCTCTTATGAATGAGTGTGTTGGAATTGGTTGCATAATTGCTCCAATCAAGAAATTTAATTTGAAATAGATGGGGAGATTAGAGATCCACAGTATTAGTCCCAGTGGCAACACGATTTAGAAGTGATGTGATGAGTAGTAATTATGGTTTTAATTATTAATACAAGTGTAAGTAGTATTATGAATCTTACTTATGTGCTGTTACATGGCTTTCCTACTGTATGTGGATGTTTGTATGGGCAATTGTTGCCACTTTAGTGACCTAAGGTTTGTTTAAATCACACTCTGTGGTCTATGGTCATCAAATTAGCATGGATATTTTTTATCTTTTCTGGCAAAACAACAGTTGGCAGATGTGTTAATTATTAATCTTTGTGATGCCACCAACCGTTAAAGAATTTCCTCTGCCCCAGGTTTTGGCATATGCTTGTTGAAAAAGCAGTGAAGAGCGGTGAGTCTGGCTGAGTGGAGCCAGTAGAGATGGGTGCCAACACCAGCCAGGTCAGTGACCTTTCCGATAACCCCAGCCTCAAGGCCTTGGTTGGCACGGAGTCCATATCAGAGAACGACCCTTTCTGGAACCAGCTCATCTCCTTCACTTTCATCAGTCCCACCAGCAGGTACATAAACACGCACATAGAAAGTTTCCGTCAGAGAATTGTCCGATTATGTGCCAGAATGTCAGAGTTCAGTACTTAAAGGCTGCAGCACTATTAGTCATTCAATGGGGGGAATCCAACACATAAGGATTGTTAGTTTCAGGAATGTCGGAGCACTAAAACTCCCCCGGGTGCCGCTTTACAAATGCGCAAATGTTTCCTGCTTTTTCTCTGTTCCGTGTGACTACTTTATAATGCTTAGTTAGACAAAAAAAAAAACTCAACACAAGCTCCACTGACTAGCTTTCGCCAGAGCTTCCAGTCTCATCTCTTTCAACTGCATCTTATGCTGGCATACGATGCAGTTGAAAGCTCAGGAGAAAGCTTTTAAATGGAACTACCTCGTGTTGAGGATTCAAGGTGAAGAACTATGACACTCAATCAGTTGGTGTTTTTGACTGTTAAATTGTTAATTAAAAGTCCAGTGTGTAACATTTAGGAGGAACTATTGGCAGAAATGGAATTGCTGAGAAGTAAAGACACTTTATTTCCTCCTGGACTATAACTGATGTTAAATATTAATCTTGTGAAGGGATTCATTCATTCGTCTCTGTAACATCATTAACAGAGCTTGTGCACTTATGCAACAGTCCTGCTCAGTATTGGACTATACTTTCCTCATACAATAAAAACAATTGTCTATTTGAACCAACTCTTTCATTTTAAAAAATGTATTTTAATACAAACACGGGCCATAAAGTCAAAGAAGTGAACATATAAGCACTAGGGAAAACAGGACTGACTGTTAGAGAGAGACAGACAGAGAGGTGTAATGCGTTAACTAATGATTATTTTCATTTTTATTGATTAAGCTGGCATTTATTTACTTGATTGATTATTTGGTTGGTGAAATGTCAGAAAATTAAGCGGAGGAATATGCCATCACAAGTTCCAAGAGTTAGGGGTAATGTTAGGTAGGGTATATTGGGATTGCTTGCCTTCTTTGACAAACATTCCCAAACCCAAAAATATTTAGTTAATTGTAGAGCTGGAACCAGATAATTCATGGCAGTTTTGGGTAAAACAAATGCTTCCAAAAATTAACTGATTATCTAAATAGTTGCACCGAAATAGTACATATATTTTTGTATGAATAAGTGTGGAATATACTTCATACTTAATGTACCAGCCTGGCTGACATGTAAGTGTGCAATCTAAGAAAGACAACAGAAAAAGAAAAAGAACTCAAATTTGTGAATTGAGTGTCATTGCATCTCTAACTTTGAGCTACACAGACATGAGACTTCTTATCAATATTCTTATCTGAAAAAAAGAAGAAGCAATTATTAGAATATTTCCCAAAATGTCATAAAATCCTTTAACGGTCTTAATGTGACCCAGCTTGTCTTATCAGTTCTGGCTCATAAAAAAAAAACGTATTTCACTCGTGATCACAGTAATATCCAGAGGGCAGACAATGATATGTTTTGCTGTCAAGAATGAGTGGCGCTTCCCTTGAAGCATATTGCACACAAGCACAACATGACAGCGGCATTTATATAGCTTCAATTTTCTCTTTTCTGTCACTGTGCACACAAACTATTTGAATGTTGTTAGTGTTTAATTATAGTGCAGTTCTGATCTATTTTCTCATGCATATATTATAAGTATCTTCTCTTCCCTGTTTTTCCTTTAAAACAGCGGAGAATCCAAGTTGCTGGAAGAGGCTGTGATCCCCCTGGCCAAGATCCTGAGTACGTTGCCTATAATATTAAATGCTTTGTGTGCGTTTCTTACTGGCCAATACCTCGGTTGCAATGAATATCAACTTCTCCAGAGTTTAAATAAAAAAATAAACATTTGTTTCCTTTTATTGTTTGCTTGCCAAATATTGAATTAGGTTGTTTCTCTAGCGTATGTAACGCTGCTGATAAGTTCTCTACTTCTTTTTTTCCAAGTTGAAAACAATCCCAGAACGGGAAACTTTGGGGCTCTTGTGAGAATTTTCCTGGGAAGAACCAAAGAGCTGAAAATCTCTACAGAATGCCAAGAGTAAGTATGGGAACCTGAGTATGCGAGATAATAGACTGGGATGACTGTTTGAGTAATGATAGACACTGTGCATGTCAG